CTCTTGCTATCTTAACCATCAGGTGAAATTCGCTGTGAACCTCCCAATAACAACTTGGAGAAGTATGAAGGTGTAATGGAATGGAGAGGTGAAAAGTTCTCTCTAAACAGTGACTTGATGGTTCTGAGGGGGTGTGTACTCCGTAACACCAAGTGGATGATTGGATTAGTCGTGTATGCTGGCAAAGAAACAAAACAAATGCAGAACAGTGGCCAGGCAAAATTCAAGAGAACTAGCATTGAAAAACTCATGAATAAAATTGTTTTATTTGTGAGTACCATGAACAATTATTTTAGATTCTGAGTGACCAGCATCTGAGTGATTATAGATGTTTCATTCCTGTCCACTCGGTTGAAAAAGACATCTAGACTTTTGCACACTTTTCACAAATCAAACCTCCATAATTTTTGTCCATATTTGTTTGATTGGTGTCTTATTCAATGTTAAATTGCGTGTATGTCCATTTGGTCCAAATGGTACAAATAAATTGTAGTAAAATACATAAAAATTTTAAAATTGTTGCACCAACATTTTGACTGAAAATAGTGTAACCGGTATGTATGCTGTTCCTATGATAGTATCTTTGTTGTGTAGTCAGTCTTTGACTGTACCTTGAAACTTATATTGTACCAATGTGCCACATCTTTGTGTTTATACCTAGTAAAAAATACATTAAAAAACAAAAAAAGGAAAATTACAACTGTATATACCTGTAGCTATGTATATTTTAGAAAAAGTTAACGATATACCTAGTATAAATATTCAATATTTGTCAAAAACTTTGTTCTTTGAATTACATTGGGTTGCTAAAAAACCCAGAATGGTAAATTATCAGAAGTATAGTCAGTTTTCATGTAAAGTTCATCATTTTTTTCAGATTTTTGCGTTGTTGTTTAGTCTCTGTTTGGTATGTTCCATATCATGTGGTTATTGGGAAGCTTACACTGGTTATTATTTTCAAGTATATCTACCTTGGGAGAGTTATACAGATAAAGCGGTTTCAGTGGCTGCCCTCAATTTCCTCTCATATATCATTGTACTGAATACACTTGTGCCTATATCACTTTATGTCACGTAAGTCTTAATATTTATTGCCTTCCAATAATTGATCCTATTCAGAATTGAATCAGTTCCTTGTTCTGACTTGTATTGTTGTATTAGCTTGTCTCCAAATTTGACATGCAGTGTAGGTTTGGCATTAACTGTTATTTTTGAACAATGTCGAAGTTATTTTTGTTTAATTTGACACAAAATGTATTCATAATAGATGTGTGGAGGATCATATGTTTTCCCACTAGACTAACATTTTATGAATTTCAAAGGCCACTTAGATGCCTGAAGAACTGGTATTATAGTAAAATCACTTGCACTGCATATTGATTGTGAATAGCTGTACAATCCCCTTTTGCTAACAAGATATCATCCATGTCTAAAATTTTATATCCACTGAAATATTCTAATTCTTTGATCAAATGATAAAACCAGTTGAACCTTGGATAGAAAATAAAATTCATTTTTACCTTGCCCGTACCATCAAAGATGGAAGGGAAAGGTAAGGGAAAAAATGTTGTCCTGCGTTGTCGTTGGCGTCATTGTTAATAATTGTTATTGTGTGCACAATAACTTTACTAATTCTATTCTTAACTTCATCAAACTTAGTCACCTTATTCATCAGTATAAAGTCTTCCCTGAATTTGAACAACAGATGTCCTGTATGAAAATATTATGCAAAAATTGAGAAAATCTGATAAAATATTTTTACTGTTTCTACTTGACTGATCACTGGTGATACTCATCAAAGGTCACTGATCTCAGTGGGAATATGCATTGTTATATGTGTTCAATGAAGTAAATCATTTATTTTGTAATAATATTCTTGGTAATGTATCTCCCAAATCCCATGGGAATACTATACTGGGTTTCAAAACCAACTCATGGAGAGATTTTTTGCACAGTCTCTACACATTTGCAAACCTACCAATAAAATCTTTACAGAAAACAAGATGTCAGAAAATCAATATAAGCACTCCTATGAACTGGGTGCCAAACTTTGATCAAGATCTGAAACTAATAGAAAATCTGTTTAGTTCAAAGTTATCAAATCGAAAACAATATATAAAAAATACATAAAAAGCAAAACATTTCATCCACATATTGAAAAGAAAAGAAGATTGCAGTGTTTGAAGATGTAGTTTCTCAGGAGGCAACAGTACTGTTGACTTCTCTCTCCACAGGACACCAACTAACTATTGAAGTTGATTTGCATACAAAGCAGAGCTTGCAACATGATAGCTATTCATAAAGGGTGTTTTTTTTTTACTTTTAATATAATACAATAGTCACACAATGAATATAATAAGGCAGTTCATATTTGTCTCAGTGAATCATTAATTTTTGACATACACCTGTACAAAATACTTGGACAAAAGCCTGCTAAGATTTTCTGTTATCTTGCATGTTTTATGAATCTATTCACATCTAAATGCAGCACTTTTTTTCTGCAATGAGCCATTTGTTTTTATACTAAAATGTCTGAATAACTTTGAATAAAGCTGGAAGTTATGTCCCTTAAAATAATTAAACAAATAAGGCACCAATTTTTTGTAAGATATTTACATCTTTTAAGGACATTCGGTAGACTGATTCCCCACTGTTGGGTCAACCCCAAAACTTGTTTGTAATCAAAATTAATTATGACAATGCATAAATAATATTATATAACAAAGGGCAAGGTCACCAGAGTTTAACTATGTTTATTTCACTCAATACAGTGTTGAAATGATCAGATTATCCCAAAGTCTTTGGATTAACTGGGATAAAAGTATGTATGATCAACAAAAAGACACTCCAGCCAAAGCTAGAACCACCACATTGAATGAAGAACTCGGACAGATTGAGTATATCTTTTCAGACAAAACGGGTACTTTAACTCAGGTATGTAGATTTCATCGTTTATTTCAACTGAAAGCAAATACTGTGTTTCAGGAACCAAAAAGTTCCTACATTTTGCATGCCTAACCATGTATGTCTTCATGGCCAAATTGTCCAATTGTGGGTGCTTACTCAAATCACAATGTTGACCCATATATGTACACCATCATGTGTAAGTAAAATTACATTTAAAAATGTTCTCAATATAGCTGTATGTTTATGTGTGCTTCTCTTGGAGATGCAATTCTAAAAAAGAAGAACAAAAATTACTTTGAATTTTAAAACTTGGATTAAGAATGGAACACAATTCTTAAAAACCAACGTGTCCAGGATAGGATAACTATTTTAAATCTAAAATAAATTAAATAGGTCTAGAAGTAGATTTTCAGTTGGTAAGGGGAATTTTTTAGTTTAAAGTGAGCACCACGAAAATCAAAATAGAAATTAAAGTACAATTTTTACAAGCACAGCGTATGATATATGTTACATAGGTGTGACATCATCCCCCCCTCCATCCTGGTGTCCAATGTCAAGTTTGAATGAGTTTAAGTACAGACCTGATGAGGTCGTGTGAGTTGCACGCTCCGCTGTGCTCCAAACCCAACACTCATCTGACAGAAAGATGTAGTTTTTCACTTCCTCCAATGATTTTTTGTTTGTACCAATTAAATTGCAGGAACGTCAGATAGTGACAGCCATCAGAGAGTAACAATTCACGACAGAGTCTATTTGTTTGTTGGTATAATGTGTGATAAGGTGCTGGCAAATTTACGGCATTGATTGAAGGTGTTACTTTTCAAATTTGCAGTATTGATCTTCCAGATGAAACATACACTATTCTGTCAGGTGTTAGTGGGGTCTGATGCTGTTCGGCCGGTGGGGTCGCCACTCATGCCTACATGTCATCACTTATTCTATCCACCACAAATACCAGCCTCAAATGCTCTAATTTTAAATGTTTTAAAATGTAATGTTTCTATTACTGTACATTATGATGTGTATGGTGATGACACTTTTCTCAAAAATACTGAATCACAATTAAGTACCGTACTCGGTATGCTTTTTTTTTAACGAGTCAATATACTATGTTTTTTTCACAGAATAAAATGACATTTAACAAGTGCAGTATTGGAGGTAGGAAGTTTGGTGAAATGCTGAATAAGCAGGGACGTCCCATTGAAATTAATGAGGTGACTATATTACATTTGACTGTTAATTAACTCTTTATCTGACCTTGGATTGTGTGAGTTTTCAATTTGTAAAATATGAAAGAAGTCTGAAAAATGATGCCTTGTAGACATGGTGGCCTACCTAGCTGTTGTTAATTTCTCACAAAGACAATTGGTAATGTTGAAATAAAATGAAATTAAACTATTATTTGTATTGCAGCATTCAGTTCCTGTAGAATTCAATCACAATCAGTGGTATGATGGAAAATTCAAATGGTATGATAAGAAACTGAATCGTCTCATCGATCAAGGCGATAAACACTGCTGGGCATTTTTCCGTTTATTGGCTTTATGTCATACTGTCATGGCAGAATACAATGACAATGGTAAGCAGGTCATATGTCAACTTACTCCTATGTCATTTTTACTTATAAGCACAAATTCTCAATTTAATAATTCTGTAGAAATATTTTGTATATCACATGTTTCTCAATTGCTTCTATTTTCAGATGAACTTGAGTATCAAGCACAGTCACCAGATGAGGCTGCTCTTGTTGGTGCTGCTCGAAATTTTGGTTTTGTTTTCAGGGTAAGGGTATTATACAAATTAAAAACATTAATTGTAAACTTAGACTTTTAATTGATTTAACCTGCAAGTAAATATGTACAACAATGTACATGTAATCCTGTCACTTTTATTAGCTCTTGCTGTCGGCTTCGTCAAGCGGAGCTTATCATATAAGTGATTGTCCGTCCTCGTCTGTGTCTACTTTTTACTTTATTGCTTTGATACTTGGTGTATATGTACTTTGGGCAGACTTCTCTCAGATTTGTTCATTTCATTATGATATCTTTAAATCTCTAATTTTGATGAATATTTTTGGCATTTTTGATAAAAAGTAATATTTTTGACTCCTTGTTAAAAACTGCAAATCCGATTGCTTTGATGTTATACATGTAGGTACCTCAGATAGATCTCTTTCAGATTTGTTCATTTTCTAATGATATCTTCAATTTTCTAATTGAAATGTGCATTGCTAGCAGCAGAGCTATCTCTGCCGACAGGCTGCTTGTTAATCCTTTAAATGCCATATTTTTTGTGCAACTATTCACAATTTTTTATGTTTTGTTTTTTAATGTATGATTTTTTTTTCATTTCGAACTAAATAGACATCATTTTCAATTGCTAACACATCTTGCACAACATTTTCAAAATATGGCGGAAATTATTTTGTCAAAGGTGATGAAAGATAACTTTCAAAAGGGTTACCTGATTGTTTCATGTTTGCAATCACCCGATTCACACACAAACACAGGGTTAATGGAGTGACATAGACACATACTCACACATGGTGAAGGGAGCGACATGAACATAAACACATACTCACACATGGTGAAGGGACTGACATGAACATAAACACATACTCACACAGGGTGAAGGGACTGACATGAACATAAACACATACTCACACATGGTGAAAGGAGCAACATGAACATAAGCAAATACTGACACATGGTGAATGGAGCAACATGAACATAAACACATACTCACACACGGTGAAGGGACTGACATAAACATAAGCACATACTAACACACGGCGAAGGGACTGACATGAACATAAACACATACTCACACATAGTGAAGGGAGCGACATGAACATAGACACATACTCACACATGGTGAAGGGGCTGACATGAACATAGACACATACTCACACATGGTGAAGGGACTGACATGAACATAAACACATACTCACACATGGTGAAGGGGCTGACATGAACATAAACACATACTCACATATGGTGAAGGGGCTGACATGAACATAGACAAATATTCACACACGGTTAAGGGACTGACATAAACATAAACACATACTCACACATGGTGAAGGGAGGACATGAACATAAACACATACTCACACATGGTGAAGGGAATGACATGAACATAAACACATACTCACACATGGTGAAGGGGCTGACATGAACATAAACACATACACATGGTGAAGGGGCTGACATGAACATAAACACATACTCACATATGGTGAAGGGGCTGACATGAACATAGACAAATATTCACACACGGTTAAGGGACTGACATAAACATAAACACATACT